TTTCTAATCTTATTAAAATTCTCTAACACAAATAACTTTCTTACTTTCTATTGCCTTCACTCTAAGTACTAAAATTATTTGATATTATTTGATTTGTTTTATTTTATTTTCTTATATTGTATTTATTTTAAATTATTTCATTGGCAATTATAAATTTTATTTAAATTAATTTTAAGCTTATATGTCGACACGTTGATTGTTCTGCATTGCACATTATTTCATTTGAATATATTTTGGTACTTTTCTCAGCTAAACAAAATATATATGAGTTACAGATACACATATATACGAGTATGTATACATATGATTATACGAGTATATATATCTATATATAACAGTTACACGTACATATACTATATAGATATATACATATTCCATATTACCTGCATACTGATTTGCATGCATCAAGCAAATATTGTTCTACACTTACTAATTTAAATGCTAATAAGGACATATGGAGTAATACTTGGCTTTATATTACGAGTATTTTTATAAAGTTATATTGTAGGATACATTGCATTGTGCTCATTTCAGTTGAATAGAAATTAAATGTACACGGCTCAGAAGCCATGGTTACGTTACTACATACAATATTTACATTGTTTACAACCTTAATAAAGTGATTGACTGATTTGCGTGCACATTCGAGATGAATGCATAAAGGACTTTTAAGGACTAATCAGAAAAATTTTAATGAAGATTAAATTAACAAAATACTTAATTAAACTAAGTAACGCCATAAATATATACATTATTAACTTTGTATTATATATTTACATGGTATGTATTTCATATTTGTTATATACTAAAATCTAATGAACAGTCTTGATGAAGTTTTTTTTTAAAATTATACAATATTTAATGGAGTACATACATATATATATTTTTGCTCAATATGCAATTAATATTCAAATAGAAAATATCGTTTTATCACATATAATACAAAAAAAATTAACATATATTGTATGATATGTTATTCCATACAGAACCATATACGCACACATAAATAACGTTAGAAAATATTTAAATAAAGTAAATTAATTAAATACTAAACTTCTGATATGTACAACTTTAGTTACAAATATTTCACCAATATTTATATAAATATGAAAAAATTCTATTTAAAAAAATATAATATAAATCCTAAGTAATAACTAAGTTTGACTACTTCAAAGAAGATTTTTAATTAAAATAATAATAATTAAATAAAATAATTAAATAATATTAATTTAATAATAATAACAAAATAATAATTAAATTTTATTTTTAGAAAAAAATTAATTTAAGTTATAATAAAGGACAGTAGCCGTAATTTTTTCTTTAAGAGTTGTAAAAAAACAGCATTAATTCTGGTTGAAACAAATTGGCATCACTTTTCAAATATGTTAAATGATTGTTTTTGACATATGTTTTTTGTGTTGTGTACAATAAGACACATAAAAATTGTGAACACAAAAAATTAATTAATTTAAATAAAAGAAAACAAAATGAATATTAGAAGGGCAATGGTAACCATTTTTATTACTTAAATAATTTATTAGTGAATGAAATGCTAATATGATTTTAATGAATGACTGGAATATACATATTTCCAATGAACATTAACAACAGACTAATTTTTAATTTGGCCGCACTGAAGCTTAAGAAGGAAATTTTTTTGCGAGTAAAGCTTAACTCTGAAAATTTTAAGAGCATTGTTGTTACTTCACATGTTTTCTTTCGTAAATTGCGAGTATTTTTTTGTTACTCTGAAAGAAAAAATTACGGCTAATATTAATTAGATATTAATATACTTAATTAATTAGAATTAATTAATTCTATTAATTGTATAATTAATTAATTCTATTAATTTTATAATTAATTAATTATATAATTAATTAATTATATAATATGTATTATATATAGTTATTTATTTATAATAAATGACTAAAATTTAAATAAAGTAAGTAATTTTTAGAAATTTTCCAAAAAACTGAGTATACATAACAAAATCGTATAATTACTATTAAATTAAGAAATCCTCAACATCATTTATTTTAATAATTAAATAAGATGTTAACTGTTAGTGAATTAAACAAAATCCTTAACATAAAATATTAAAGTAATTAAATCAGATGAAAATATTCTCGCTACAAAGTGATTCTTTTCTTCAGTGCAGATATTTCTTTACAGTATGAAGAAAAAAAGGAGTAATATACAGAGACGATTTCAATATAAATGAAAATGTTATCTTTGTATGTATGTATGAACTCGATGGTATTAAGATCAGAAGTGCAAGATTTCATTGGATTGTTTAGTAGGGATGAGGATTTCGTGGTATGATTTTGTTAAGATATACGACAGGGACGATGAACTAACCAGACAGGATACTAATCTTCTCCGGATCGGTATAACTAGTGCCTGCTGTAAATAATTAATGAATCCTATAAATTATGATTAAAAATGGCGTCAATTATGACATCAATTTATTCTGGTCAAATAAAGGAACTTGTCTGACGTCTAGGTTAATGTGGCTGAAACTTAATAGGAAAACAAACAATATCATTGTTACCAGTTTTTGGGATATATCGCATACATACTGGTTAAAGTAAGAGGCTGTGGAATTTTTATAGTATTATGAGCAGACTAAACTATTCTGCACAGAAATATGAGTATACACAATCAATCTTTATATTTTCTCTAATAAAAGGCTTTCAAAGAAGATAGCTAAATACTTTTCTGCAATAAGCCATTCAATATTTCTAATGTTAAGAAAAAATATTCTAACTTTAGATTTTTTATACATATGTACTGGTGGTTAGAAATTTATTAAAATTTGTTCTGTTCTATATTAATTAAATAAATTAATAGATAAAATTTTATATCAATCACTTCACGATACAATACACAAACTATCTTCTTGGTCCTTCCCCTAGTTAAACTTTTTTTGTTAAAATTTATTCTGTATTTAAAATATTAACAATTTGTAAATTTATTAAACAATAGCAAAGATTACATAAACAATAAAATTGCAACAAATAATAATTTATTATTGTTACGATTAGAAATATAATTTATATTAAAAGTTGCAATGGTAGTGGTGCAAAGAATAGCCAAGTTTGCAACTCGAAGTTATTTAGCTATAACGATTAGATGTGACTCATCACTCTAGTTGGAAATTCACCAAAGAAAGAACTTAGCAAACTAAGCAATTTTCTTTAAGGACAATAGAGGATTACGGCTTACAATATCAACAACAACAAAAACAGAGCAAGAAAGTCTCTTTGAAAGACATTTTTTTTGTAGGTATATATATATGTGGTCTTGAAGTAACTGAATAACGACTAGACGCAGATTAAATGCGTATATTTAAGCAGTTTATTTCAGTATACTAAGCATCTACCAAGCGAATATTTTGCTAGTGATCTGAAGTTTTGTGTACCTTTCTCTCTCTCACACTTAACTTTATATGAAATTATGACCACACAAATTAAACTTTATGTATGTATATTATAACAGACTCAAAGCAAAATTTACAGTCCAAAAATAATGTTGTAGTGATATAGCATATACCACTATAAGTCATCGGAAAATAATTAGCAAAATGTTTTTAGATCAGCACTACATATTTGTATAATATATATAAAGTCTTATCTAATAGCTCCACATCTTGGTAGCAAACAAAATTTTCCATAAGTTATTACTTCATTAAGGGTGGTTGCAGAATATCTGCTGATTTGCTACCACAGCAACATTGCAACTATGGGAGTATACATAAACACATTGGATGTAAAGAGAAGGGCTTTGAAAAAGAATAGTAGTGCTATATTATAAAGTTAAAGGGGTCCACAATAGTTCAAGCTGGTCGGAGTGTAGAAAGGCATTAGGCTAACCCAAAAATCATTATATACATTATATCGTTTTGGGAAACATTCATAAAAAGCCTAAAATTAATTAAAAAATTAAGCAATGTGGGAGATGTAAACTGTAAGATTATTTGTGATGTGATATCATAGAAAGGTTCTATATGAAACATAATACAAATTTAGAGGGAGGCTCAAAGGGCTTAAGTCTTATTTAAATTAGACTTGAGTCGAATCCATTCGTAGAGTCACTCCATTACTTACAACGGCTAGCGCTGAAAGGTCCTTTAAGCGTGAAAAGGAATAAATATATTACCAGGAAATGTGATGGTTCGTGACAGACTAAATGGACTATTACTATAATTTCATTTCACTGGGATATTACTGCTGATCGGGATGATGTGATCGACTGTTTACAAAATTTTTTATTAGCAATAGTATTAAATAAAAACCAAATAAAATCTATTTAATTGAAACTAAATAAAAATAAAAAACGAATATTTTTTCTTTGTATGATTTTTTCTTTAATAAATTATTATGAAAATACTTATAAAGAATTTTACTATTAACTTAAAACGAAAATAAAAACAATAACAAATTATTTACATTTGCAAGAAAACTCGATCAATTAAATATTTAAGTTTTTATCTACTTATTATTAATATAATAATAAAATAAATTCTTTGTTTTTAAACAATTGTTAAATGGAAATTTTTTTGCTTGTATCTGAAAGTGTGTATGATTGTTCATATATGTACAAAAGATAATATATTTATAGTAAATACGTATAAGCTAATAAATCACATTTTTAAAGTTCCATAGAGGATATTTCATTAATTACTTTAAACAATTTATAAACAATTTTAAATTTTTTAAACCAAAAAAAAGAAATAAATTAAAATCATATTTTACAGAAAAAGGCAATCAATTGCATACTAAGTTGGATATTGTAAGTGTCTTCGGCGCTCTTTACCTATCCTTTAAACGTCGATCTTTGAAATTTTAACTTATATATACATATGTCATATAGAGTAAATTATAAAAAATAGAGTAAATTAGAAATTATAAAAATATATACAAAATGAACTTATTAAATAATAGGAAATTATTTACATTATAATAGTTGACTATATAGATTTATGATTGAGTTTACTTAATTGACAATCGAAGATTGTCAAACCTATAAGCGTCTATGAGGAAATAAGTTTTAGCTGAGGTCATATATATAAAACATTTAATTTTTTATATTTCTTACTACTAAAATGACTATTAAAAACTTCAGTGAATGCAAGGATTTACGCATGCGCCTCCGATATCGAATTGTTGTTTTTCTGCAGCATCGCAGATGTAGTTGTGGTGGCATTCGTATTCGAGTACGTTGAAGAATTCTCCAATGTAGAGGTAACTGTCGAACTGGAACTATTGTTATTAGGACTTGTCGCTTCTAAACTTTCGCTAGGAGCATGCATACTCGCTGTGTGTTCAACTTTGAGTGCAACAGGCACATTTGTATTTGCCTTACGCCGATTCCAACTGAAATTCAGCGCTGTCGTTAGTTTATTGGCAGGTTTCTGTACATTGGCTGAGGGCATTGTATATGTCATATCGTAATCATGACGCCCAATGGAAGAAGGTGGCGTATGATGACTATAACCTGAATCTGAACCAAAACTGGAGTCACCGCGTGAGTACAAGTGCGTAGAATTATGATATGCATGTGGTGCATGCGCTGTATGATAAATGGAGTTGTTGGCATAGTCTGTAGTAATATAGTTAGGATAGGCAGCATGTTGAGCAGTAACTCGTGGTTGAGTCGCTGCATGACAGGTATCGTAATTGTAGTTAGATTGATAAAGTGGTTCCGCATAACCGTAAACGGGTTCAAGAGAATGTGGAGGTGCTATTTGATGACGTCGTTCAAATGTACGTGGATTGGTGCGTGTTGTTAGTGAGCCACGTAGTATGCTATTATTACTATTTTGTGTGGTGTAATATGGCTGTGGATATCTGGAGTTTTGTGCTAAATGTTGCAGTCTTTCACGGAATATTGTAGCTACAGCGTGTGGTTGTGATAGTTGTGCATTGATACGATTTCGTCGATCTACTTCACTTTCGAGTGTATTGTAAAATTGCGGTAATCTTGTATTATGTGCACTATTATTATTGATATGATGTAGACTGTGGTAGGCATGAGGTTGTTGTTGTTGCTGCTGCTGGTGTTGCGGCATATTTCCTGGTACATAAGCTAAAGACATTAAATTGCAGCGTTTATCGTACATATGCTGTATGGCACCCATGTCCGTGGTGTCTGCTGTGGAGGTCGAAGTGTTTATATCATCCACACTTTGAGTGTTGTGACGATGTGTTTTTGTACGCGCTCCATTATGCAATTTACTGCGACCCGTTGTGTGCCTTAAGACGCTGGATAGTAATCCACCGCAAGCACCACGTGTACTACCAGTCGCGGAATTATTACTTGTCGTGGAATTATTGTTATCATTATTGCTATTCGATTGATGATGTGAGTTATTATTGTGTGATGAACTGGAAGAAGCTGCTGTGACAGTAGAACACTCTTGCGAGGAAGAGGATGTAGATAATACACTGTTTCGTTCAGGCGCATTTGAATTAGCTGTTGTACGTTCATGATATATTGTTGCAACGCCAGGTAAATTTGACGCTGCTTCTGATGCAGTGGATTTGTTGAAAGAATGCTCTCCAGGCAATGAGAGTTCGTCTTCAGCGAAGTCATCATCAGAGTGTAGTGGCGGTTCGGAATCAGCATCTGAATCACGTGCAGGACCAAGCTCTTCATAAACATTATCAAGTGAACGATAAGGATCTGGACCTGGCGAAGATGATACCAAAAAGGGCGGTGATCGAGTCATAGGATAACCACTAGGATAATGTATGCTTTTACCATGCATTATCTGTAATAAAGAGAAGAATAATATATATAAGTATATTTAAATAAAAAAATACATATAACTATACATAATAATAATAAAAGGATAAATTATTAATAATAATAACAATTACAACAATTAAAGTTAATTAATAATAATATTTATAATAAATAACAATATTAATAATTAATAAAAAAAATATATAACTATATTTTAATAAAAAAAATATATAACTATATTTAAATAAAAAAATATATATAACTTTATTTTAATAAAAAAAATATATAACTATATTTTAATGTAAAAAAATATAATTATATTTTAATAAAAAAATATATACTGCTTTTATATTTACTATTTATAAATACCATTTTTGTATTTATAAATAAAATTTAAAAATACAAATATATAATATATGATAACACATGAATAATGTTCAGAATTTGGAAAAAAGCTTATAGAAAACTATTTTATAGAGACAATACGTATACATAAAGGAATATGTATATCTAAAGAGATATATATCACTTTATACATAGAGACATACATATAATTTTTTTTTTAAATATTAATCATTGAAGTCAACTATGACGAGTCATATTATGAAAAGGAACTATTTTTAAGTTGGAAGGGTTCGAATAATAATGAAGCGACAACAACAAAAATTATAATTAATTTATTGAAATTTTGTCGACCATACAACGCTGTTTCGAGTATTGCCAAGTACTTACAATCAGAAATACATATATACATAGAGTGAAAGAGTTAATTTCTAATTGTTATCAATTTTATGCCATAAGTTATTCAAAAATTAAAATAAGTATCTAAAATGATTATATATGTATAAATTATAAATATTATGTATTTATATTCATATTTAAATACATTTTTGTTTAAAGTATTATCTAAGCATTTTCTTGGCTTTTGTACTTTACATTGATTAAATCGCAATAAAAACGCAAACCTCTACAGAAGAGCACAAAGGCTGAATTACTCCAATGCACACGTAACCCTCACAAAAGCCACGCAGTCTGTGCGATTCAAGTGTAGTACAGTACAAACAAAGGACGAAAAAAAAAACCGATTTTATATATCCTTGAACTGAAGCAACAAATGCTGTAATGCGATATTAAGGAATATGCAAGCATTTCTTAGCCTTAAGCATAAAAGTCGTTAAAAGGAGCGGCAACCAAAGGAACAGCAAAAAATTGAGCTATACTTTTTTTTGCATTCACTTTTTGTTTTGCTTTTCGGAACAAAGTTGAAATTAAGATGACAACTTGCCAAAATAATAATATAAAAATACAATATAAACGGATCATGACACTCCGCTTCAGCCAGGACATTCATATCCTTCATATTCATGATAATGTAACAATAAAACTGTTGATGATAACATTTGCAATATGAAACGATATGAAACGACATAATAAAAACATAATCAAAACCGAACAACACAACACAAAAGTAAACAAATGCCAAAAATAAAAGCATAAATAAGGAAATAAAAATCGTCCTTAGAAATCGTCCTCGTACCCGCAGCAATACAAAACGAAATACAATAATTTGAATTATACTCAAGTGCTTTTAACTAGCACTGATCTCAGCATATACGGCGAATGTGTGGGAAATCTTGTTGTTGTATTGCAACTTGCGTTGAAATTTAATAGGTTTTCAAATAATTTTCACATCCTTTATTGCTTTGCTCGGTTTTAGTGTTTTAATGTCATAAAAATTAGAAGGAAAAGAATTGTTCGAGGGATGGATTGTCTTACGACAGGATATGTCAGTTTGCATGATTTGGAAATTTTGCAAAATGATGTGACAGTAATTGTCAAAATATTTTATTAAACTTAATTAAAGGTGTGAATGTAGACGATTTAAATGCTTTGCTATGATATATGCCATACTTGTATACTGGATGAGACATAATATATGTAGTATAGTAGTAAAAATGGTCGAGAATATATTTAATATCTATTAAGCTATAAATGGAAGCAATTAGCAGGTCGTTGTCAATATTATAGTCTATTAAGGAAAAAAATTGTTTTGAATTTTAAAGCATATTTGTGACGAGATCTTCAAAGATTTAAAAATTTTTATTAAGGCCGTTTTTAAAGTAGTTCATGTAGTTTTAAAAATATATTAGATAATATGGTTGTAGTTATAAAAGTTATAAAAATTTCCTCAATTTGAAAGAATATTTGTGGATAGATCTTTGAAGACTTCAAAACTTTTATTAGGAATTTTTTTTAAATAGTTCATAGACGTTAAAAAATATTTTAGATAATATGGTTGGATTTTAATTTGAAATTCGCGGGCTATTTTTTTATTCCGGCAGTTTTTTTTATAGGTTGGTAGTACTGTCAATGATCACTGTGCAATGATCTAGTCAATATCTGCATTTGTCTAATCCTTGTGCATGTGTTTTAAAATAATTATATATTATTATTATTAATTATAAATATTTTTTATTATTTTTAATATAAAATTATCTTTTTTTAATCAAGAAACAAAGACTAATTTAATGATTTTTAAAATGACACCTTTTGTTGAGATATAAAGTAACATTAAATTTTAAAATTTTCGTTAAAATAACGTTAAGAATGTTGTGGTAGATATTCGGTTGGTTTAAACAAGTCAAAATAACAGAGAGAGGGCCTGGGCGATCATCAACTGATGAATAACTCGATTGAGAAGTCAAAGATTTGGAGTTAAATAGATTTCTTGTCATAGAAGAATAGCGAATTTACAAACCTCGCTGATATTATTAACATTATAATTATATCACTCCAGGCCATTTTAAAAAATTTTTCGGATCGTAAAAAAGTAGAGAAGTGTTAAAGTTTTTAAAACAATTGTTTCTGACTATCAGGATGAAATGAAATACATAACTGAAGATAATAATTCTATTCTATTATTAATAATATAGTAGCCGCTTATAAATTATAATTTTTCTCCTCTTAAAGAAAAAAAAAACTATGCAGTTACACCCTTAAGTTCAAATTTCTGAACATCTATTGTAAAAATAATAAATATGTATAAATAACAGTAATATATGATTATAAAATATCAAAAATACTAATATATAAATGATAATAAATAATACATAATTAATATATAAATAATAATAAGTAATAATAAATAATAATAAATTATAAAAAATAATAATATAAAAATAATAGTAATATAATATAAACTATTAATGTTTAATAATAATATAAAATATTAATATATAAATTAAAGTATTAAATAAATAATAGTATTATACAAATAGTATAGTATTATACAAATAATAGTAATATTATATAAATAATAATAATAATACCAAAATAATAATAATAATATCTAAATAATAACATATAAACAAAAGTAATTTGTATTATAATTATATAAAAATATTTACCTCAACATTGTGATGATGTCGCATAACAAGCGGTCGATGATGACCCAAATGAGCATCAGGATCTTCGTATGTCAGCGAGTGACTGCCACCTAATGGTAAGTTACCATTCATATGTGGGCCACGTGTAGGTGTTTTGCATGGCAGGAAATTTTGAACTTTTCGCTTATTTCTGTAAATAGAAATGTATTAATTAGTAAAAATAATTTTATTTTCACGTTCTTATACAATGTGTTATATATATACAATAACCTATATTTTTTGGATATAAGTATAGAGAAAATGTAAATAAGGACATATACTACGATCATTTCGAGTCTATGAAGGAGATATTACAAATTTTAAATTCACTGTGTTTTGTTATAAATATGATGTAAATATATACCCATATAGTATAAATATGTATTGATATGGTATAAATATGAATCAATATCATATAAATACTGGTATAAATACTGATATGTTATAAGTATGTACCGATATAGTATAAATATGTACTGATATGGTAAAAATATGTACCAATATGATATAATAATTTATCTAACTCAGTACTTTTTGCTTTCATTACAAATTTACTCTAGATCAAATAAAAAAAAAATAAAGGAAAAATAAATTTTTTGTTTCATTTAAAATAATTTATGAAAGAGGCCATATGTTTCCCCAACGGTTGATAACAATTTTTTTTGTTGGTTCAGCATTCATGCCATGCATTTCTGAATCAATAATTGACGTTCTCAGTATACATATATAGCAGTTGTAGTATTCTTAATTATTACCTACTCGGTATACTTAATGAATGACATTTTAAAACCATTTCAACAGCTTCCTTGAGCTTGTTATATACGAAAACAATAGCTACAACTTGTATATTGTATCTGCGAATGCTATGCAATCTTTTGGTACTCTTCATAACCCTAATTATATTAAAAATATGTTCAAGACAGTTCGAGGATTCTCAGGATACTCAATTAAGTCATAATTTTAAACATTAATAGTCCTTTGTTTAGTAACATCACGCTACAATGTTTTAGTTGCTTATACTTAACAAAATTGATACAATGTATCTATCACAACATGAGTATATCATTCATGGATACGCAAACATTAACATTTCCTGAAATCTTTTAATTGTTAGGAAAATATAATTTAAATGCAAACTCTCATACAAATAAATTTCAATTTTCTCGAAGATGACGAAGTAGCATCGGAACCAGAAGTAGAAGCAGTAGCAGAGGAAGACGCAGTCAACAGTTAAAGTTTATTTTACACGCCGTTAACATATCTTAACTTTGACTTTTGTGTCTTAACTGTCTATTTGTGTGTCAGTCTGTATGTACGCATGTCTGTCTTTAATTGTCTGTCTGACTGAATGTCTGTCTGTCTGTCTGTCTATTTGTCTGTCCTGTATTTTAAGTTGAGTTGATGTCAAGAATAGCTCACTAACTCACTTGTCGGCTTCATTTGCAAGCTAACAATGTTAAAACATCCTAACCCCGTTACTTATTCAAGCTTGCCTTTCTTCAATTTTTATTTTCATTCCGTTTAACAATCACACTAAACATTCTCATCCTTGCACAGCACATAATATATGTATAGTCAGACCAACCGACACATATTCGTATGTGAGCGCAACGCCGAGCAGTGGTGTATATGCGCCTTGCGGTATGCCACATAATATTGCTGCATACTCTCGTATACTTATTCAATTTATTTTAAAGCAAATTTCAAGATAAGATGCTCCAGCAGTCTTAACAACATTTCTTGTCTTACGCACATTTATTATAAATGAGTTTTGTCATAATTTTTCATTTTGCTTGAATACATTACGGCAGCACAAAACTGATCCTTTCGAAAGGATATACTTATTGTATACTTTTTAACTTGCAGCATACGCGTTTACGTACTTACATTTCTCAATGTAGGAAACAATTGTTTTATTTTCTCATAATTTCGAGAGTTTATTTATGTCCGTTCTATAAGTTAAAGGAAATTATACAATTGTTTGGATTTATTATGTCTTAAAAAATACAAAATACGAAATACAAACTCAAATGAACTTTACTACATACATTTGCTAGTTAGGAGAAGAAATAAAATATTTAAGGATACAATTTATATGTTAGCCAACGTATATACGATATAAATTATTTAAAATTCCTTCGCATATGATTTAAAGTTTAATGTCGGTACCATGACGCATGATGGATTAAACAAAGCTTATTTGGTAATGTAATATGAAGTATGTGTTTGGGTTTTTTATCTCAAAAATTTCATATTTTATAATATAAAAAGAAACAAATATTAAAATAATAGATGTGAGTGAGAAAAATATTTTGCTTTACTTAGTTAAATAAGATGTAATTTCTAAAGTATTTAATTTTAAAAAGTTGGTCGTTCTAATTCTTATAAACGAAAACAAGAAATCTTCTAGTACAAATATTTCAAATACTTCTAGCACGTATAAGTTTGTATCAATACGCCCATTTAGTTTCGATTGGATGATAACAGGTTCTAAAGATCTACTTAGGTCTGGTAGCCCATAATATTACCTTATAAAAACCTTACCTTAGCTTATAAAACCTTAGGTATTCTTCAATGGCCGATAGTCCATTGTGCACTTATTATAATTTTAGATATAACATATTAGCAATTTAAAAAAAGGCTATTGTTTAAGTTATTTTTTAAGTATCCTATCCATCTAAGTACATAGTACGATGCAAAGTAGTAATTCAGTTTTTCTAAAAGGAGCAATGTTATTAAAATTTGTTTGTTTTTGTTTCTATAAATAGAAAAGAAATTAATTTATAGAAGACGAATGATGAAACTATATCGTAAATTTTTTTATAAAATTTTATTTTATAACATAATTTGTAATTAATATTATATATTATTCAAGAAAGAACTAACTAATAAAAAGGGAGTGTATATATATATATATACAAATATATATATAATGTAATATATAATGTAATATATAATGTAATATATAATGTAAAAAAATATAGATTATTCAATTAGTAAAATATGCGATTACTTTAATAACTGATGTTCAGGATTTTTACAAAATATTCTGAAAGTGAGCCTATAAAATATATCGAGCAAAAAAAAATAAATAAATAAATAAAATAAAGCAATAGAGAGAATAATACTACTATTACTTCATTATTTTTACTAAAAAAAAGGTTTAAAAAGAGAAAATTTAGATAAAATTCTATGAACATGATCATACTTTCTTTATCGATCTCTTCTAACAATTGAGGCTGAATTAGTTGTGCTATAAGATAATAGCTGGTTTTTCTATCTTATGGAGACAATGGTTACTATTATTTGTGCCGAAGAAAAATAGGGTAGAAACGCAAGAACCAATAACCAATGGTTTCTTGATGTAAACATATGAGAAATCTTATATCATTACTTCGCATTTTTTTTTTATGTGAAGTATTTGATGATCGCTTAAAACTTTTTTGTTTGTGTGTTTATACTGTTTTGGTTTGTGTGTACTCCGTCATAATTAATTACTTATCAGCGTGATTGACTATGATATTTGATTCAGCCTTGACGGCTTAATAGAGAATAAGTTTAATTATCCTTTGGGCCAGCTTTGCATTATGAAATATAATTTCGGGCACACTTTTGGAATTATCATTGCCGCATATGACCCGTTGGGTACTAACAGTTACAGATCCATGGCAAAAAAAAATTATTGATAAGTTTAATTCGTTACATATATTACTACTTGAAAGCGTGGATATTTCAGCCAAGGATGAATTAGTATCACATTAGTATTATAACTCAAATTATTTAGAATAAACGTTTTTCATTATTATATATATATATATATATATATATATATATATATAACTATATATATGTATAATAAATGCTTTAAATATTTGTTCTTTCAAATTAAATTGGAAATTCTTATTGGTTTTATATTATTTAAAATGAATTCAAAATTTTTTATAAATAATTTTAAATAAATTAAATTTTCGCGCGTCACAAACACACACACACACACATAAACAGGCAATCACTTGAACAAAACTTTGAGTAAGCATTAATTATGAAGTCAAAAAGCTAAAAACTGAATTCCTTTTTTGTGTGCTTAACCAGAAATATTCGCACAAATTTAATATACTCATCCATATAAAAATTTTAGTATGATTTTATCAAAACACCAAAAAAAAAATCACACAACTCGAGAGGAAAACGCAAATAATAAATTTATTTTTCATGATAGAGAAGGCTGTTGAATGTACACAGTTAAATTGTTTAATAAATAAGTAAATGAGTGCGTGCAAGTGAGTGCTATTTTCTCTTTTTATTCATATTTTTGTTGTTATTTGGTTTTTTGCAGTGTGCGAATGAGTGTTTAAGTTATGAATTTCCCTTGATTACAAGTACATTCATACATATTAAATGAAATTGTTCTCAGGCACACACACATACACACGAATTCATATGCACAACCGAAAAGTACGCCATTCATGCATGAGCATACAGACAGCAACCACAACGCACAACACATATACACACAGGCACAAAAGAAAAGTATGCAAAAGTTTTTGCTTTAAAGTACAAGCAAATGTTTCTCCATGTATATTTTTGGTGTGAGGATGTTTGTATGTTTGTGTGTTTGTTTTAGCGCGTATCCACTTTTGAATAAACAAAATCAATGCTTTGCTGCATATAATTTGGTTTCTACTTTTGGGATATTGACAACGTACACACGCACATACACACACGCATCAAAGCACACAAACAAATACGAAATTGGCATAGAAAACACACACGCCAATGCCTTAAGCTTTGTATTAAAAAGGAAAAGCGCAGATACTCGTACTTTTGAAGTGCTGCCATAGTCATAATATTTTTGTCAGCCAAGAAGAAGTAAGTATGCTACTCGTACAATAATAATGATAATATTATTAAGTAGCTATGGTACTTCAATATATATGCATATAAGTACATATTTATATTTATTGTAATAAGCTAGCAGATATTTACATAAATGAAGGTGGTATATAAAGTTTAATTTCATGCTTTCCTTTATTTGCCATTTTTTTTGTTTTATTTTTTTAAAAATTTTTTTTCCTTCTTTTTTGGCAAACGCAGCGCAGATATTGTGGCGTATACGTACTTTAATAAGTAAAAAAAAATTATAAAAAAAATTTGAATTATGTTTCTGGCAAGAGAAGGACTTATGCGCTCTTCGTCAAAAGTGAAAAAATTTTAATTAATTTATGCGTTCTAAAGTGTAGGCAAAAATTTAATTAGAAATATATTTGCGTTAAAAGTGAAAGCATATTTTGCGGTGTTGTTTACATGTTTAATTTTTGACACATAATTTTTTGTATCTTGCTTTTACCAAGTAAAAGTAAAGTTGTTGCTGTTTTTCGTCCTTTGAGGACGCAGGCAAGAGTTTTGTGCCAGTACAACCATAAGACAAAAGTCTCTTCTTTTTTTTTTGTCTTAAGTGTAAAGGAAAGTCTATTAAAGTAAAGACAACTTAAGTCTCAGAAGTGTTGTTTTCTTATTTGTATAATGTTTTTTCGTTTTTGTTTTGTGTCTAAAACATAAGGAATGTGAAATATTTACCATATATCTTCTGCTTACATGAGAATTGATAATTTCAAAAATATAAACAATTTAAAAATATACCCATGTCTAGCAATTTAAAATGTAAATATTGAAACAGAAAAGAAAAGCTATGAATAATATAGAATAAATAAATTTAACTATTTATTTACAATGATTTAAACATTTGAAAATTGTTTAACATACGAGTAACATCAAAATATTTTTTTATAAAAATTAACTTTTTCGTGAAAAAAATATATTTGCAAAATACTAGAAAATTTTTTTAAAAAAATATTTTAAAAACCACTGATATGAATACTTGGCAATACTCGAAAAAGCGTTATATGGTCAGCCAAATTTCAATAAATTAAATAAATTTTTGTCCTTGTCATTTCTTTGCTATTCGAATCTGTCTAACTAACTAAAAATAGTTTCTTTTCGTCATAAAGAAGGTGTTTAAGAAATCTGAAATTCGACTAAGATCCACTAATATGTAATTTCCAATTATATTCATTCTACGTTATGTAAGCGCAGAATGACAAAGTATATATAATATAATAAATAATTCTAGTTTTCTACTTACTTCCATATAAAAAGCGATGATATTAAAACGACTAGAACAAGTAGCAATGAGAATACAGCTATCATTGCAGATGTTTGCAGCGACTGACTACTGTAGAAACTTGCATCGAATATCTGTAATAAGAAAAAAAATTAGATAATTCTTGATATTCAATTTCTATAATTTAAACGATTCATTATGATAAATCACATATTACAAGAAATATTAGGTTTGGTAAGTTAATAGTTATGATAAGGAAACACTGTAGGCTGTAATAAAGAAAGAAGAAAATATAAGAAAGGAGAAGAAAATAAGAAGCACAGAAGAAGAAGAGAGAAAATAAAAGAAGGAAATAATAAGAAGAAAAAGAAAGGAAGGAAAAGAAAAGAAGGAGGAGAATGGAAGGAAAAGAAGAGGAAACGAAAATAAGCCAAAGAAAGGAAGGAAAGGAAAAGAAAAGAAGAAAAAGAAACGAAGAAAAAAAGAAGAAAGATAAAGAGAAGAAAATGAAAAAAGAAAAAAAGAAGAAATGAAGAAAAGAAGCAAATACAAAAAAAAAAAGAACAAAAAGAAAAAAAGAAAAAAAAAGAAGAAAAAAGAAAAGCAAGAACAAAAAGACAAGAACAGAAGAAAACAAGAATACGAAAAGAAGAAAAAACTAAGAAAACTTGATAAAAAGAAAAAAATATATACAAAACAACAAAAGAATAAAAAAGAAAAAGAATGAAAGACAAAAAAAAAATAAATAAAAAAAGGGGAAGAGAAAAAAAAATAGTAAGAAGAAAGGAGAAAAGTATATAAAAAAGAGAGGAGGAATAGGAGAGAAAAGGAAATAAGAAAAAATAAATAAGAAAACAGAAAGACAAAAAATAAGAAAAGAATAAAAAATAATAGTGATTATATTAAAATTGGATGGAATCAATATTATAAAGTTTTTCAACGTTTCAGTCGAGTATTTTCTATACAACAGAATTTATTATAATGTAATTTATCAAAAATACTTAAATGGTATACTCGTACAGCTTAAATAATCATTTAAATTACATTATAGATATAACTTATATTGTTTATAACAATAAAAACCCCCAAAATCAACAAATCGCAAATCGCTGCCTAATTTAACACAAACTAACTTTAAAATTACAATGTCTCTTCGTATGTCTGTCATCCTGGTTTGTTGTTGTTATGGGTTTGTGTGTCTGTCTGATATTGATACTACTCATATCACCTAACACGTACACAGTTTGATAATACTTCCTGCGGCAGTAATCGCTTTGAACTACCAATGCCAGAGAAAACTTTTACCAGGATTTTATTGCAAAATGGCAAAAAAATAAAAATAAGAAAAAAAAAAAAAAGAAAATCAAAAGAAAAATAAAGTTAACCATGCATGTTTCCAAACAATTTCACCAAAAAGTGGTTACAAAAGAATTTTGCTTTTGATTGAAGAGTAAAGGGAAAAAAATATTACCAACACACATTCATACTCTCGCACGCATACATACACACTTATCCATATAAATGCAGAAAACATATAAAAAACCTGGACACGTGCATAGAAATTCAAACAGAAATTTGTGAACCCACGAATTTTTGCAGTGGCAAAACTTTTTTACGCTTTCCGGAATTGATATGCTGAAACTGAAATTGTTACGGATTTTTCTTCTTTGTTTCCCAATTTTTTTCTTTTCTTCTTCTTCGTTTTCTCCTTAATAAGAGACAACAATGAAAGTAAGAAGAAAGTGTATATAATTTTATAAAAATTGTAAAGTAAAGTTTTGCAATTATTGGGTTGAGTAACGTCTAAGTATATTTGTCTGTTGCTAATAAGTAGCGCTGGTAGGCTGTGAAAGTGCAAGTGCGGAATTTCCGCTGGCGAAGAATAAACGGGAATAGTCGTCTACTTATAGTGACAAATTTAACGAGTGTTCGGAAGAAAAGCGGGAGGGGAAAGGAAGCCGGAAATATACAAGATACATTGAAATGAAACTTAGAGTTTAAAAATAAGTTAAGGTTGTAATTTTTTAGCTATAGTGGGAGAGAGTGTATGGCAGCTGCTAGCTAAAATGCTTTATAATATGATAGAATATAATACCATTGAAGTTGAATGCAATGGAGAAAGTAGAGTGAAAGTGTATAAAGAGAAAAGGAACATTTAATTACAAAACTTGCAAAAACTTGCTTTACACATTAAATTTATTATACACTTTATACAGTGTAAGTTTTTCACTTCTTTATATTTATAATATAATATTACATTTTTATATAATTATTTTAACATCTAAGTCTTTATATACCTAAACGTGACATAGGGACACAATTTTTCCTTTTAAAAAATGCTCACTTAAAAATAAGTTTTTAACTTTTATTTTTAGTAATAAAAAAAAAAAACTTAAGTCCATAAAAATGCAGCTTTAATATATTGGCAAAAAATTTCATTTACTTTATTTTTTTTTTGTGTTCCAATAAATAATTTAATTTTAGACAGAAATGAATCTGTTTCGCCAACACAAATTTTGCTGCTGATCCTTTTGATTTAGTCATGCATGAATTATTAAAGAATTCTTGCTGCCTTCAGTTTTATTATTAAATTTTTCATTTTTAATTTGAAATATGATGAAAAAACTTAAAAATAATAATGCAATTAAATTTACTTTCTAAATCTATAGTACTTTAAAATTCAATTTTTCTACTAAGCAATGTACACATAATTTATACAAATCTTAGAAACATTTCCATTAGTCATTCACAATTGAAAATAAAAATCAATATTAATAAAAAATTTTAATTATAATAAAAATAGAAAAAATATCTTTAAATATTTTTAATAATCAAATTTAAGATAAATATTTATTTCTATCTATAAACATTTCTGCGGAATACTTCAGCTGTGACAATGATTGTTAGGAGGGATTGTCATTTCGGCCATGTGTCGTTTAATAGGTCAGAAGCCTATAATAATTGCTTTTAAATTTGCTATTTTATTATAATTCTATTCAATTTCTATTTTATTTTTCTTTTATTTCTATTTCATTTTAATTTTATTTCTATTCTATGTCCCATTTCTATTCTATTTCCTTTCTACTTCCATTCTATTTTTCTTTTTCTAATTTCATTCTAATTTTATTCCATTTCTATTTTAATTTTATTCTGATTCTATTCTAATTTAATTGTAATTCTTTTTTAATTATATTCCGATTCTATTCTATTCTATAAATTTCTTCTATATTTGCTTGCGATATTTTTTACTTAACAACATATACAAAACGTATACCTATAAATTGTAGGACTATTCCAATTGTGGTCCTTTCTTTAAATAAAGGACGTAATTTAATTCTATTCTTTAATAAATTTTTACAACTCTTTTTATTATGTTAAATAGTATGAATAGCAGTTCAGGTATATCAGATCTTTTTCTGGTCAGTATATCAACTACGTCGTTTTTCTTAACATTTCTGTGTCCTGGGACCCACATAAGCTAAACATTGTGTCTTTTAATTAAAGTGGTTAAGTTTTTTTTGCGTTGTTTCCTTAGATTAGAAGCGTTAAAGATTAAACTTAAAGATTAAACTGTACTTTGGTCTATTAAGTAGTATAAAGCGCTTATTATCTTTTCATTCCACAATTGTAAACACCTCCGCATTAAAAACGTCAGACAAGTTTGGAACGATGTACAGACTTTTTTATTTTTCGTCTCATGAATATATACTTGTGCGACATCATCTTGTTCTATCTTGGAACAGTCCTTGAACATTGCTGCTTTGAAAACGTCTATCAGAGAAGAGGCATAGTTCAAACGCTTATTAAAGCAAGCAAGTAATATTTGATCTGTCTATTAAAAGTCTGCCAAAAGATAGAAAGAAAAGAACTATCAAAAGGTAGTTTTTATTTAGAGTCCTTTGAGAATAGGTGAACCACGTAAAATTCGGTTCACATTCATTTTTGAAATGTTAGTGGTCCTATTTCTGCCTTGTAAAGTTTACGTTATTGTAGTGAACAAGTTGGGTTAAAATGCACTTATATTGGAAATAATCCCGAATGCGGAGTGGATTTAAAACTGGTATCTGCTTATAAAAATTTTTTAAAAGTATATATACAGAACGCGCTAAGAAAATGTTTCCATTGAAATGTCTGTTTATAAATATTCTTAAAAGGATATATAGAGAAAACGTTAAGAAAATATTTATTAATAAAACATTATTAATTCTTATAATTATAATAATAAAATTATAATTTTTATAAATATAGCAAGACTTAGCAGAATCAATATAAGCTTTAGTTCAGGTAATGAAGATGTAGGAGAGTACATGTAAGAAAAAAATTACTATACCATACACTAAAAAAATACTTGAAATTCGATAAGTCCATAAACACGTAATAAATTTCAACGGCACCTCTTAAAGGCGGTAGCAGATAAAAATTATTTCATAGCAGCAGACAATAAGCGAAATACCAGTGAATAAATGAACTTCGAAATGCTTTGCGTTTGTGTTAAAGCCAAAAAGTATCTTTTAATAAAAATAAAATTGAAATTCAATACAATATTTATAGGAAAATAGAAAACGCTTTTGTTCAGTTGAAAACAATTCAATTCAACCGAAATGACTTTTTTTAAAACAAAATTTATTATAAATATGTAAATAAGTTATCGATTATTATTTCTCGATTTTAATAAATAATCAAAATTTATAATAGTATAATTTTTTTTTAATAAACAGTGAAAATATTAAAATAAAAAATTATTTTAATAAAATTATTTTAATAAAAGCATTTTAATAAAAGCAGTCCCATGTATAAATATTTCATATGTTAATATTATAAAAGCATTTTGGTTGCATATTTATATTTATATTTTATTTAATTTTTTTTTGGGTAATTTTTTTCATAAATTATTAATGGTGTTTATCGCACATAAAACACTGAAGATTATGCGGCGCAACACAATAATTTATTAAAAATTTAATGTTTATTAAATTTGGAATTAATTTTTTTGTACTCAATAAAATTGATTTATTCGAAAATGATTTTGTAAATATTGATGACACAATTTCGTTTTCGGTTTTCGGTTTTCAGTATTCAGTATTCAGTTTTCATGTTTATTTTATTTTAAAAGCTGCTACTGCTGCAGTTTTTATTATCAGCGATTTGGTTTGAGAGTTCGACTGCCACTGCCGCTGCCGTTGCCACTGTGTTCCCTGGGCTTATCAGCAATTAAATACTGACACTGAGATACATTTACGTGCATTGCAATGGCCCCGTCGCATTTATTTCCCTTTAACAAATGTAATTAATCATTTTAAGTGGATCATAAATATTTAATTTTTCATAGAATTAACGATAATCGTTTGTCGCTGCTCGTACTTATGAAATCGAAACGGAAAAGGGTGCAAGGTACTTCGCTACGGGTGTGTAGGGAAGGCAGACAGAACAAATAACTATGAAGAATTGATTTAATATTAGGAAACTAAATATTTTTAATAAATACTGACAAATATAAATAAACTACCGACCGCGCTTCATTGATTATCAACTCTTTTTACATGAAGTAAATGTAAAAGTGTGAAAGTTACTTTGTCAATAATTGAAATGGTGTTAAGAAAATAAACGCTTATCTTGGTAGACCCTAAAGTAAATAATTGCTTAGAATGTAAACTTTAATATAGATAAGGGATTGCATACAAAACGATCATAAAATTCTGTTTTTAGTTGGCTTAACATGAAATTGATAAATGTTAGATATCAATAAATTAATAAAAAAATATTATCTAAAAGTAAATACAACAAAAAAAAATATGTAGAGGACATAATTCTTTATTATAATGAAGTTATTTACTAAAATGAATTAAATGGACAATGACATAATAATTAAACAATAATAATAAAATAATAAATAATAATAAAGTAATAAATAATAATAAAATAATAAATAATAATAAAATAATAATAAATAATAATAAAATAATAATAAATAATAATAAAATAATAATAAAATAAGAATAAAATAATAATAAAATAATAATAAAATAATAATAAAATAATAATACAATAATAATAAAATAATAATACAATAATAATAAAATAATAATAAATAATAATTGTGTTTGTCCTTTATTTCTTTCTTTGCTATTCAAAATCCCTCTAAATTTAATAAAATAATGATAAATAATAATAAAATAATAATAAAATAATAATAAATAATGATAAAATAATAATAAATAATAATAAAATAATAATAAATAATAATTGTGTTTGTTCTTTATTTCTTTCTTTGCTATTCAAAATCCCTCTAAATTTAATAAAATAATAATAAATAATAATAAAATAATAATAAAATAATAATAAAATAATAATAAATAATGATAAAATAATAATAAAGTAATAATAAAATAATAATAAATAATAATAAAATAATAATAAAATAATAATAAATAATGATAAAATAATAATAAATAATAATAAAATAATAATAAATAATAATTGTGTTTGTTCTTTATTTCTTTCTTTGCTATTCAAAATCCCTCTAAATTTAATAAAATAATGATAAATAATAATAAAATAATAATAATAAATAATAATAAAATAATAATAAAATAATAATAAAATAATAATAAATAATAATAAATAATAAAAAATAATAATAAAATAATAATAAAATAATGATAAAATAATAATAAATAATAATAAAATAATAATAAATAATAACAAAATAATAATATTTATAAATCAATTAAATCATTTTAATTTTTAATAATATTTAATATTTTAATTTTTTAATAAAAAAATGGTATTCTATTTTATTTTAACATATAACAGCTGTTTTGAGTGGTAGAACAAAATCAGTTAATTTAATAATAGCAAGCATATAAAATAATTATTATTAATCTTTTAAGAAAATGGATGTCTAATTTGTTTAATATTATTTTTTAAGACCGCCATTTCTCAATCAAACCTCAATAAACCCAACACAATTTTTATTTAAACTTGAAGTAATCACTTAAGCAAAGAAGAAACCTTATTTCTTTGATTTTAAATCTTTAAATCGCAAATCTACGCAAGTAAAGAAAAAAACATTGACAGATTCTCTAATAACGAGAGAAATATATAAATAAATGAAAGACACTCGCATCTTATATGTTACCAGCGTTCTTCTCTTCTGTCTACCGCAATCTATAATTTATAATCTACATATAAAATATATAGATAATCTATAATCTAAATATCAAGAAAATAGTTCTATTTTGTAACAGTTTAGTGTCAGATCAAGAGTTCTTCTTCAGCTTTAGTTCTGGATTTTGTTGACAAAGCTTTAAAGGGCTTTGTGTAAATAAAAGTGAATTTGGTACAATAGGATTCTTTTGGACTATTGCACCGGTTGACATCATTAGTTATAAATAAAAAATAATAATTATTATTTGGTTCAACAGCTCACACAGTGTGTTTTGGTCTGTGTAATGTTTCACCTTCATACGAGCCGAATACTTTACTAGTGGGAACTTTTCAGTTTCTAGTACACATTTTATTCAAATCCATATGACATCTTCATACCACTTCAGTCGTCCATTTTTTTCTGCCTTATCAATGCATAATTTCGATTGCACTCTTTCGAAAACTCTTGTTAAGTTTATTTGGGTTATTTGCCTAATTAAATTCAGTATGTGGGTTTTAACAAATGGAACAAAATTTTCACCGTCTATCACATGTTCAAATAATTTCGTTAATCCATTCAGCTTTACTCTCCATTTTAAACTTCCATTTAATCTCATTGATTCGAATCTTAACAATCTACCATATATTTATTAGCTTAAGTTAGTTTATGTGTTTCCCAGCTGTGGGGTTGGGAATACTAGGGCTATTACTCGTATAATATCAACGCATTCATTTATTAATCAGTTTCTATACATTAATTTATAATAATTTATTATTATTTATTAATGATACATTAAAATTAGTAGATTAAATTATAACTTCAGCTAACATTAAAAAAAATTATTATAAATTTTATTTCCATTTTTATTCGTGACTGACTTTTTGCCATTAAATTTTAACACGTTTATACGTTTTTATATGATTTATAAATTTTTTAAAATATTGATATATTGCATTTGGCACATATAATTTATATGGCATTTCGTTAGACCATATGTTGCTGACAGATTTTTGTATTGTTGACTGTGTAAGTGTACGTAAATGTTTCAGAAGACTTCCCCTTTTTTCTTTTTATTCCCATACAAAATTATTATTGTTGCATATTGCAGTAAAAAAGTTAATTCCGGTTCAAGTTGTAGCGATAATTTTTTTTTTTGAAACTGATTTACTTGCAAACACACACCCATACATACATACATACATTCACATATATGTATATAAACATATATCAATATCGATAATGTTTATAAGGTTCATAAAGCATGCAAAGTATTTAAATGTTTGCGCAAATCAAAATAAAAAAAAAACAAAATGTGCGAAAGTATCTTAAAGATTTTATGTCAATGAAAGCTGCTGTGCATTTCAGTAGAAAAAAATAATACAAACAAGGAAGAAGAATAAAATGTGGAAAAATGTTATAAAATATCTGAAAAGGAATGTTTAACTTGTTGTCAAACGTTGCTTTTTTATACGCACAACAACGACAGCTGACAGTTATTTAGAACAAATGCTTTCTGCATGCAAAAATATTTTATTCTATATATACTATACTCCTACAAAGATATATACAACAATATACATATATACACATCTATATAGAAATATACTCCTCTGAATTTGGAACTTAGAGAAATGTTTCTGTGTATCTTTATAAGTAACAAATTGTGTTTGACACTGAAATTTACAGTAGCATTTTGGATTTTGGTTGCAGTGCATTTTGGAAACATAATTCGAGCAGATGTCATAAATGCGGGTAGTTAGTTATTGACTTTATCTGTTAGGGGGTGAGGTTGAGGGTGAGTGAGATAAGCTCGCCGCCAAGTGAGCGTGTAAATGAGACACGTACAAGTTTCAGATTCAAATTATGTTAAGTAATAATTTTTGCGATAATTTTTATTTGATTTCAAATTTAATTATTAAAATTGTATTTAATTCCACTTACCGGTATTGCCTCGCACATATCTTGTTCCCAATACTGTTGAGCTTTTCGTATCAGCTCTTCTTCATTGCATCTGTTCAGGTTCTGTTCGTCTAAAAAAGGTGGCCTGGGTGGTGGTGGTATAAGAAATTGTGGCGGTGGTCCTAAAGGACTGCCGCATTCATCACACTCAATTATATCATCAACCATTTTCCACATTTGTTTTAATTTTCTGTTTTGTTGTTTTATTTTTCAGTGTTAGCGAAAAGTATATATACTTTCTTTCGCTTTTCTAATGAAATTGGAAAATTGCTGGTAAAAACAAATAAAAAGTTGTTATATCCTTGGTTTTTTCTACACTGATTTCATGTGTAGTCTTGTCAAATTTGTTGCATTCTGGCTTTGTTATTGTTGTTGCTCATATTTACATTTGATTATATGGCATTATTTGTTGTATAAAATCGGAAATCTGCAATCAAATGAAAAAAATATACAATTAATATTAAACGCTTGCAATCTCAGCTGTCCATCACTAATTTCCTTTGTTACTATCTACTAGATACAGAACTACAGATGTTAACATTACTTGTGTCTGGGTTACATTTAATAATCTATCTTGTCTAATGCTCATGTTAAATTTCTTTTGCCGCATTGTCAAAAAGGACTCAGTATGCTATTAACACCACTGACCTTTTTTGTTTGGCTTCATTCTTCTATGTAATACATAATGGATATTATAATTATGTATGCTAAAATTTTATCTGCTGAGTTGTGTGGCGGGCACGTCACAGTGACGTTTTGTTCAGGGCATTATTGTAACGTGCAGTTTTTAGGAAAATAATGATTTTTACATATTTTTATGCACAAACTCCATTCAAATGAAAATTTTTAGTGTGCAGTTGACATCTTTTTAGCGATTTGTCAAAAAGAAAAAAAAAAGCATTTAACACTCTTATATATTTTAAGACATATGTTTTAAATGTTTCATTTAATAATATTGGCACAATCCTAAAAATTTTGATATTCAACTATTATTAAATTGAAGTGGACTATAGACGAGAGTAATAAAGTAGACGACAGTGGTGGTAGAGTAGAAAATAGTAAGCAATAAGTGGCTTATTTAGGACTTATACCAAATCATTTCTTGACGGTTTTGAGTTAGAAGTAGAAATAGTCACTAAGAGAATTTACACCTTTATAAGCAGAAAGAAAGCTAATGTTATGATCTGTAACAGAAATATGAACACTGTAAATCGTTCTTTATCATTAAAACATAATTGACAATATGGTCTCCAATTATTTGGAGACCAAATAATTTCACAAAATTGTGAATGTGAAAATTTTTATAAAAAAAAATATGTGGAACATGCAGACCTTTTAAAAATAAAATTTGTTATTGTGACAAGGCATTGTAAGTTAAAAAGAATAAATACTCGAGTCGTAAGTCCATAGTTTTTCTAACTAAATTTAAAAATCTATATCAGCTTTGAATTGTTTAAGTGAGATCCGTACAGGGCGGTATGCAGATCTTACATCAGTTATCGACCAGCTAAGAAAGAGTAAAAGTGCCCAGTTGTGCACTAACTCGGAAAAACCTCAACATAAGACAATATAATATTTAATTAATAAATTTTAATATTATTATAGCATATTATTAGTAATTATTAATAATATTCAAGTTCTGGTTACTTAAACGTCTAGTTTTGTAATATATGCATATAAAATCAATTTTAAAATTTATAAACTTATGGTTAGTCTCTAATTATAAGGGAAGATTTAATACAAAAAGTAAAAAATTAGTTTACATAAAGGAAAATTATTTTTATCTATTTGAACTGTGGTTATAGAGAACTATTTAGACATAAATAGTCATATGTCAAACTTCCATAAGTCGAAGTACCATTTTCCAAAAAAAAAAATGTTCGAATTATGGAAACCTTCGAGTTAAAGAAATGCTTTGTAATTGTATGTGATTTGTTCTCTAAACCCTGTTGCACTCTATTTAGTTCAACTTTTAGAAAATTCAAGTTATTGAAGTTTGACTGTATAACTATATATATATAATTACATATAATTTAAACTGTTACTAAATCTTTTTTCTTTTCAAAAAAAAAAAACGTATATATATCTCCTCTGCAATTCCTAGTGAATTATCTATCTATTTATTTTTTCTTTCTTTTTGAAAAAATATATACATATCTCCAATCCATATGATAAACCAAGTCCTAGTTAATTATACATCTATCTATCGCAAAAACTGTTTTTTTCCTAAAAATATAAACTATCCAATTCAATTTGTAGTAAACGTTAAACTCTTGTGATTATTCAAATTTAACCAAATATTTTTTTAAAAATTTATTTAAATTTTTTATCTTTTAATTTGTAAAACATCCAAATTCGTATTGAACTCGTTTTTGTCGTTTGCTTAATACAAAAATTAAATAAAATCGATTGAAATGTCTTTTCTGATTAAATAAAATAGTATCTTTTCAATCGCACCTTTCAAGATTTCAAATGATCCCTGTTAAGCACATAAAGATGTCTACCAAATCAAGATATAAAAGTGTAGTAAGTAAGAAAGACAATTTTTGGGTAAATAATGTATCAAATCGAGTTGAAATAAAAGTTAACACAAACACATAGATACACTGATTCAGAAAGATACATAAGAAATACTCGTAGCACATGTACGACGAGCAGCACCAAAAGTTGCAATCAAAAGAAAAATGTTAAGGAAAAAGAAATCGATTTGTTTTGAGATTAAGTCACAATGATGAGCGTTTTGTGATTTAAAGCTCTAGAGACTGGAACGACAATGTAATCATGTCTATAGGAGTCACCGCCACACAATGATAAAGTGAATTTCACAATAAATCTCACAAAAAAAAAAAAAAAGAAATATCTTAAAAAACAAAAAAAGTAACTAAGTTCATCATTGAAAGAAAGCAGTTTGGCAAGCGGTTAATTTCATAAGATACTCCTCTGCTGCATTATTATGTGGGAAAGAAGTGCATTAGGTTATTAACTAAATTAATTGCGGGCTTAAAACTAAATACATTTAAGTTAATTATGATTTTTTAAAATTACTTAATTTAAAATAATAACAATAAAAAAACTATATACTATATATACATAATTACATTTGATCATGTTTAATTGAGCTGTTTGAAGTCATATTCTCCCTTCGATAAATATCTTAAAGTTTTAACTGCACATTAGAGAACATAAGAAAATAAATTATTTATTTAAATAAAAGTTTAGTTAAATACTTTAAAATCATCCCCTTCCTTTCCTACATTCAAATGTAAATTGTTCCATTGTCTCGTCTCGTCTCTGCTACATTATTCATTATTTTTACCTTTTACCAAAATTTTTGATACGCAGTCCAAAAAAAGATGTCAAAAATATTAAAAATGTATCAATTTAAAACAATACCCAAAAATGTAAATGCACTCAAGTGGCTCAATTTTGTATACAATTAAAATTTTTTTGTTCTTTCACCTCAAGGCACATATATCACCACACTTTTTAGCAGGGGTACTTTTTAATTACGTACCCTTGTTATCTGTGAAAGCCAGGTACCACCAAATTTATGAGTGGCCCTACGAGTAACAGAAGTGAAAGAAGAGAAAGAAAGAAAGTGCGTTCATGCTAGGCACAAGGTAAGACAATGCGTGTTTAATTGTTTCCAATGACTTCAGTTCAGTGGGGGAATGGAAATGTCAACTCAAGTTCCCATTGTTGCGAAGAGTAACGTTTAAGATTTTACTTGAGGAGCAGAATTTGTTACTTTTTGTATTGGTAAAAATTTCCGGAAGTTTATGCAGTCACTACGAATAGAAAAGTATGAATAATTGAGAAATGCATTAGCAAATATCTTTTACGGTTGTTATAGAAGGGGCAGAAAATAATAGCGCAACAAATTTTGATTACTGCAATTCTTTCACAGGACCACCAAGTTGCTTTTATTGGAAAAAACTGGTTACAATAATTTACGGAACATATGTGATTTTTTTAGATGATTTTTTGTTACAACTTTAATGTATAATAAGAAAACATATGTATTGAAGTACATAAAGTATGTATTATATTTTTATATTATACATTGAAATAGTATTTATACTGAATATATATTTGAATTATTATTATATTACATGAATTATTATGAATTATTACAACAAAATATATAAGATTTTATTAATTAACAAATAAAATTTGATTTTATTAACAAATAAACAAAATTTAATTTTATTAATAAATAAAAAAATTTTATTTTATTAAAAATTCAATTAATTAAAATAATTTAAAAAATAATTTTTGTAGTTCACTACTTTTCGATAACCTTTTATTAATAAAAAAAAATAAAATTAAGTTTTATTAATAAATAAATAAAATTTAATTTATTATATTAAATTAGGTCTTGAAGCTCAATTATGGTGAAAGCAAATAATACAATTTCTACATAGAAATACTCTAGCAAAATTATTTTTAAATAGTTATATATAGTAATATTTCCAAAAAGACAACTAATGACGAATATTTGACAAAAATCGAAAAATTCAATAATTTAAAACTAAAACTTTGTTGTGCACTACTATTCAAAAGGTTTTTTTTTATTAAAAACAATTTAAATTGTTATTTTTTTAAATTAATATTTTAGCTAACGTCACTAGTCATTCTCAGGATACTAATGAGAAACTGCTTGGTATAATTAATAGTAAACTATTTCGTACTATTTTAATTAAGTAATATAAAATAGACAAAACAATATAATATAATATGCAAACTATCATATAAAAATGTTCATTATTGATAATTCTAAGAAGTTTCTCATTAGTACCTTTAGAATGACTTCCGACGGTAGTCGATATATTGTTCAAATAAAAACACAAAAAGTAGTGATTGAAAACGTTTTTCCTTAATTAAAAATATTATCTACATACGGGAAACTTTCAATAGTAATAAATTAAAAATTCTATAAAAAATATATATTTTATAGAAAAAAGATTCCTTAATTTGATGTTAACGTCAGTTATCACAGTAGTGATTATTTTACTTAATAAAAAAAATTGTATTTAATAAAGAGATTCCGAAAGACTAATGAACACTGACTCTGAGCTTCAAATTTGGCAGGGTACGAATTGTTTACAAATATAATTAAATAGAAGAAATACTACCAAGACCATTGATGATAGATATTTGGCAACACTCGAAGAAATAGGTAATATTTTTTGTTGTAATTCAGTACTGCTGGGAACCTCTCTGATAATAGATTGTGTTATAGTTAATAGTTCTTGGTACATAAGTTATATAATGCAACTATAACATATATAATCTTAAAGATAAAAACGGTTAAAAGTGTATATAAAACACAAAGGAATGAAGCTATTTGACGACATAAACTCACACAAACATTTTATATTAAATTACTTATTAGATTAGGTTACTTATATAAT